CCCCCCCAACATTAAAGATTTTGGATGCCGAGTTATCGCTACTGACGTATACGGTACCTACTGGGATGACTATCCCACTGAATTAACCCTTGTTGGGCTGTCCCTTACAGTCCTAAGGTGCTTTCTATCCCTTAAGTAAAGACGCAGTAAGTACTGGCTCACCGGCAAAACACGCCCACTATTTAGAAATAAAAATGACTATCTCTAATTGTGTAAAACACATTAAACTACGTTGTGTACACTTGTGTAGACACCATACCGTAAAATGCACCCACTTTTGGCGCCAAAACAGAGTATTGTAACGTTGTCGCTACTTGGTTTTTGTATGCTAATGAAAACCAAGCCCTCTAGGCTCCAAACGATCGACATATCTACTCTCATAACAAAATTCGCTCCATCAGAACATATCAAGCCCCCCCCCCCTCCAAGCTCTTCCATACAGACCCCTTGTGTGTACCACGTATAGGACGAAGGTCTCGTCGTCCTCTTTTAGGTGACGGAGGTAACGTCGGAGGAAGAGACTTGCGCCTTCTGGTACGTGGAGTGGGTCTCATCAACAAATAGAAGCTGTTCCTCGGAAGCGTTGGCGGTGCTCGCGCAGGGCAAAGCATGTCGATGGAAAGGAAGAATAAACTGGCATACTTGTATGCTCTTTTTATTTTAGCGAGGGCAAACTCAAGCTACATCATGCGGTTCTCTCAAGTACAAGCGATGGCGATAGCCGAGAAGTGCGAGCGTACAGTGCATGCCTGGTACTCGTACTGCCGCGCGACATGCTTCAAGGAACTCGTATAGGCCGAGTTTAAGGTGAAGTCGCTCAAATGTCTGATTAAGCTGCTTAAGTTGCACTAAACTCACTTCTATGTTGCACTAAGATCGGTGGTAAAGATCACAGTGGAGATCGATTAAACAAGCCTTGCCAAGAAGCGTATGTACAACAGGGGTTGCTGCTGTCAAGAATGCTGGCTATTTGGAGGCATTGAGCGCAGGACTGGCTTCACGGTTGGGCGCATCGTGTATGACAAGCGCACGAAACAGACAGTTCTTCCATTATCACTACGTTTATCAAATCTCGGTACGTTCACACTTGAAGTATGTATGCAGAATCGCAATTAATAATTTCTAGTTTTGTACTTTGTAGGACTAAAAACATGTCTGACACCGTCGCAACGTACGTTTTTGAACGAGGCGACAAGCAGCATACTTTCGAAAACAATCGCCTTCTCTGTCTATGCAGTACACGCACAGTTGGGTGAACCACAGCCTCAACTTTGTGGACTACTTTACTGGACACATACAATACCATAGAGGGGGCCGTGGGAGGGCCGTATCAAGTGCCACATAAAGGAATCCGTGGAATGACAAAAGAAACTCGATTCTTATTTAGACGAGTATAGGTGGCACTCCTATCTTTTGTTTTGCCAAGGCTTCAACGAGCCAGTACTTAGCTGGTTTGAGTCCTACATACCAGTTGTAGGCTGAAGGAAGGCATCCCTGCCAGGACCGTGTATCCCCGAGAATAAGCAATGCGTGTTCGGTACGATAACGTACATCATTTATCAAGTTAGCTACTGTAAGTTCATCTATTATCTGATTGTTGTCCGTTATAGGCTGTGTTGCATACAATATCTCAACGGTTTCGTTTCCTTCAATTCCAACGAAAGGACATATCGCGCTCTCAAAGCTTGAATGCTGAAAGCATCACCCCCAATCGGACTTCCGACATTTTGCAGTACCTTAACCAGCCATACGTGTACCGGTAGTGGGCTTAGCATGGCTGACATCAACACGCTGCACATGCTCATATGTGATAACAAAGTGGATCGCTTGTTGTTGAATAATGATTATTCAACGTTATATTTGAGAACACAACTATCTATCTACTGGTACAAGCAGGGTAAAGTTGCTCTAGCTGTTAATCTGTTAATGGTGCTACAGGTTTATCAAGACTTGCGAAGGACGAATTGTCGCATCGTAATGAATGTGGCTTAATGAGAGTTTCAAATTCACCCCCGTATGCTGTATTATAC